TCTGTGGTCAGGGAGGCAGCTCCTCGGGCGGTGAGTCTGAAATGTGGTCTCTTGAGTTCTGCTGTGCCACCCAGATCGTGCTGCCTGCTGAAGTCTGTTGTGGAGTTCGTTGTTTCCTTAAGGTTAAGGAAGGTGGGTGACTTCTTACAGGCTCAGTAATTTCATAGTAAGTGTCTTCAGCCGAGAGAGTTTAGGAGTCATAAAGAAAGGAACCAGCTATGTGTTTGGTAGTAATTTATTGAGAGAGTTTAGGAGTCGTAAAGGAAGGAACCAGCTATGTGTTTGGTAGTAATTTAGTAATGCATTACAGTCTTTTTCTGTTGGGAAACTACTGGAATGGAAACACCTAGCTAAAAAAGAGAAGCTGAAGAGGCCTTGTGGTAGGTTTCTGTCGGGTTTTACAGAGCTGTATAGATGAATAAGGACAGAATTACCCCAGTGGGTGAGCGTGGTCATCTTGAATTATACCTGGGCGAGTGTTGTCAAGGTCAGAAACGCGCGGCTGACCTCTGGTGCGATGGTGCCTTTCCTGAGGCAGATGAACGGCTTCCTGGGAGTCCAAGGAGGCACTTGTAGTGGTCAGCACCCCTTCCTGCTCAGGCCTGCCTTCTCTGGCTGCTTCTCCAGTCGATGGCAGGACTGGCTGGGGGGAAAAAAAACGTTCCGCCTGACTCTAGCAGGAGCTGTTGAAGACGAGCTGTTTGCTACCATCAAGCCTGCCTGAGCAGATACCACAGTTTTCCCCTCTTTCTCTGCCACAGCACGCTCGATCAGGCCGTGATGCTTTTCCTTCATCAGTCTTATCCTAAATAGCTCGTAATCTGTTTAGCCACAGAGAAGCATTATCCCTGCTTTACTGACAGGAAACCAAGGTTTAGCCGTGGCATGAGGACATCTGTTAGGTGTCATTTTATAGCCACCAGCACTGAAACCACTAACAAGGTACTAGCAAATATGGTTATGAAGTAATCCTTCCACCTATTCTGTAGTTCCCTACCGAAAAAAGAGGAGGGAGGGGGAAGTGAGAAGGTGACTGAGGAAGGAAACAAAATGATTTTGTACTACTGCATAAAAAAATAAAGAAGTTTGTTTGCATATGAAAACCTCTGGACTTAGCTACAGTAAGGTGAGAGCATGACTGTGTCTAGGGTTTCTGTAAAACTCTCCTAACATTGAGGGTCTCTTTCTCCCCTTAAAGGAAGACGTAGATTCCTTTATGAAACAGCCTGGAAATGAGACAGCAGATGTAGTTCTCAAGAAGTTGGATGAGCAGTATCAGAAGTATAAATTTTTGGAACTTAATCTTGCTCAAAAGAAAAGGAGGTAAGTCATATTTTTTGGAGTTGTTTTTTTTTAAGTAGTCTAGGTTTTGTTTTTAAATATCCCCAGAAGTAAAAAGCTGATGTTAGGAGAGCTAGTATTTGCAGTACTTTCAGGAAAGGCCAGCTTTTTTTCTTTCCTCTTCCTGAGAATTGCATGCAAAAGAATTTACAGTGTTGCTGAATTGTTCCTTAGCCTCTGAGGCCAAAAGGTACTGCTACAGTCTTCTAGTTTTGTCAGCCTAGTGTAAAAGAGGATATGTTGTTGTCAGATGACCGCTGTATCAAGCCTGTAACTTCAGGTTCAGTAACGTCACCTTTCTTCAGTAACTTCAGCCTTGATCTGAAGCTAGGCAGGAAGCAGATTTTTAAAAGCCAGAATCAAAGCGTCAAGTAATTACTTTTTGTTTTGAGATTCAACTTCTTCCATGGACAAAATGCCCCCGTAATCTCCACCTGGAGGCCTGCTTTGGCAGTCAGTGCTGGCTGAGCCTGCTGGTGGCCTGGAAGCCAGCGGGGATCCCTGCGGCTCTGCCAGGCTGCCGCAGTGGCCGGCGGGGAGCGGGATGCCCCCGGCTCTGGAGAGAGCTTTTGCTTTAACAGCACCCAGCGGTGTAGCCCTGAACTGTTTGTTAGTTTGTGGACCTCAGAAGAAACACAGTGGTTTTGTTCAACCTACCGTGGTTTTTCTGTGTGTTTCTGCAGAGGTTTCCCTCTCCTCCGGGGAGATCAGAAATGTGCAAAAAGATCCTGTTTTAGCGAAGAGTTGTTACTGTTAACACGTTTGTTCCACATTGTTTGTTGTTTGTGTTGCTCTGCTTCAGAAACCCAGTACGCTCAGTGTGGCGAGAGGCAGGGGAAGCTGTAACAGATGCCTTTACGTGCCCTGTGTTTCCAATTTCTCTTGTAAGCCTGGAGGGTTGCAAGTTTTAAGATGGAGATTGGATTGTGTAATAAAACTGATCGCTTGTTTAGGAAACTGTGTGTCTCTGTAAAATAATAAATTATGACTGTTGTTAATTCACAGGCTAAAAAGTCAGATTCCTGAAATTAAACAGACATTAGAAATTTTAAAACACATGCAGAAGAAAAAGGTAAACTATTTTGAATATCTAACGAGTATGAGAAAAGCTAACTGCCTTTCCACCCTAACAGAACACATTGCAAGAAATGTTTTGGAGAGCACACTTAATATGCCTTTATAAATAACAGAATTGTTTTTGAAGGTATGTAGTATTTTTTGAAAGCTAGTTCAAAACTAGTTAATGTTTGTAATGCAACCTTCACTTTTAATAGTGCGTAGATTGCGGCTCAGCTTTGCCGTCATCTCTTTTATAGAGATTTCTGTATTGCTTTTAAATGTATTTTGAAACAATGCTTTGTTCTTGGAGCTGTAACTGAACATTGAAGTAAAATTACGTAGCGTTCCACCAAAGTTAATGGCAAAAAACCAGAGGAGTGTGCTCTTTACTGTAACTTGTATGTCTCTGATATAAGTTTCAGTGAAAATAGCAATTTTAAGTTTTATCTTTTTTCCTTAAGGATTCCACAAGTCCAATGGAAACCAGATTTTTATTGGCAGATAATCTCTACTGCAAAGCTTCAGTTCCTCCTACAGATAAAGTTTGTTTGTGGTTGGGGGTAAGTAAAGTGGAACTTTCTCTGAAACGGTTTAAATAAGTTACAAAATGCTTATGCCAGCCAGTGCTCATGGCTGCCTCATCTCTGGTGGCTGTGGGCATAATGTGGTTCACGTGGGCTGTGTCCTCCCAGCAGGGCAGACCTAGCAGGACAATTTCAATGCATTAGCGAGGGTTTCATGTTTAATTTTATTTGGTGTCTGAACAGTAAGACTTAAGAGGATTGTCAATTGTTCTTTCCAAAAAGCGTATCTGTGAATGTTTCCTTAGCGCTTCTCTCCCTTTGTGGTTCAGATTGCCATCCAGCTCTGCCTGGGATGGGAGTGCACCCAGCAAAATAACGGCGTTTGTCAAGTGGCTTCCCATCTCTGCTATGTGTATTCAGCAGCATGTTTTCCCTTTTCATGCACGTTTTTGGGGAAAGATGGGATTTCAGATACTTGCAGGTACCTGCCAGCATTTAGAGTGTGGTTGGTGCTAAAGAGTTCTGGGATCAGAGCTCAAAACACATTTTTAAGTACTTAAGCGATATCAGGTTGGGATATTTTGTATCCAGAGGCTTCCTTACATGTGGAGGTAACTTGCTGATGTTGATTTTGAGACTTCTAAATCCCAGATGTTCCCAAATCCCTGTGCCATACAGAGCCACTTGGTTAGGACAGAGACATTGTTGACACGTGCAGCATCCAGACTGATTGGGCAGTTACTCCCAACCTCTCCCAGTTATTTTCTATCATAAAACCAGAAGATTTGTCTGACAGCCGTTGCTTTCAGGAGACTGTCTTTAGAATTGACAAACATTGACTTCTTTGGAGCGTCCCAGGTTTATTTTGTGACAGAATATCAGAGAAAGTTCATACTATTGATGGTTCATAGAGAAAAGCCATCATGAAATGCCACAAGCACACAGAATCCCAGAACGTTAGGGATTG